CTCCCCCTCACCTGCTGACGGCTGGACACAGCCAGGTGGGATGGGCCTCTGGTAGTGCAGGGGTCCTTTGCCTCCAAAAAACTTAGCACGCTGATGTCCAACACAAAAGAACACCCACGGTCTACCCAGCCCACATGGACTGGCTCTGAGGTATAGAGAAGTTAGTCTGTTTCAATGCCATGATGTATCCTATAGCATCATCCTAAAGAAAGGTGACCTCTGGGTCAACTGCAACCAAGCCACCACATCCCAGGTGCGGACTACATGTGCCCGAAGGTCTGTTCCAGATGCAGTCACGTCCCTCTCTCAGAATGACGGTGTAAAGCTGTTCAATCAGTCCTGTTTGCAAAGCCAGACAGGGCTCTCAGCACCGATGTGAGAATCTTCCTGACGATTCTACGTAGCACACTCTCTCCCACTCCAATCTTCTGCATCCTTCAGTGACAACTCATTAGCAAGTTATGAGAGAGAATAAGCAATTAGCTGATACCAAATGGTATTTGTAGTTAAACATATTTTTCAAAGAACACTTAAAGACTGCCAAGATTTTAATTTGGACACTGTGAAAGTGGACCAGTGCTAAGTGCCTGATTCTGCCGCTTCATTAGAAGCAGTGTTTACTTCCATGAGTAGGAGGTCAAGACCCTCCACGGAAAAGAGCTGTTATTGACAGCTGCATGCTAATTAACCGGATGGCCAATCTCCTTTCCGCATCCCTGAAAGAGCCCAGAGTAAGTGCCTTCCGCGGACCAGATTTCAAAGTGAGGTGTCATTCATAGCTTGCTGACTTACTGTATTTAGATTTTCACTACGCATAAAACATGGTAGTCATAACTAAGATTTATCAAGTGCTTACTACATACCAGCCACTACACTAAATATTTCTTTTGTGGCATCTCGCTGAAACTTCTCAATAACTCCACAAGGGGTATGACTATTTCTTCACTTATAAATGAGAAAGCAGATGATCTAAGTCACTTGTCCCAGGTTATTTGGCACGTAGGAGGCCAAGCTAGGGTACCAGGTCTGACTCCAAAACTACATGCTTTTAATGATCATGCTATACTTCCTCTTTACACACAATACCTACATATGCAAATGTGTGAAATGAGGTGTGTTTGATTGACTCCACAGGGGTCACTTCTGTTGGATTCCCAGACGCCGGTGCATGAGTGGCATGCGTCAGGCTGCCAATAAGTTTCGCTGAATGGATAAAGCCACATACTTACACAGAAACCACACATGAGGATATGTATACATCTATGTTAGAAATCTGTCCACGTAGCCACATAAAAAATCCTCAGAACAATTTGTTAAAAAAGATGATTTTACTGTCCTATTTTTCTCTTCTCAATTAACATAGTTTTACTTCCAGATCCTCAGGGAAAGAACAGATGAGTCACACTGTGGCATAAACTATGGTATAGCTACAGAAATGGAAAATAACACTACATAACTTTATAATTCATTAATAAGTCGAATGTTAGGTACAAAAACCAACTTGCCAAATCAATAATTCTAAATTATAATTCATTAATAAGTCGAATGTTAGGTACAAATCAATAATTCTAAGGAACAATTTAGTGGAAATAAGAGATGAGGAAGGTAAGAACGACAGGAAACTGATTTAAAATCTCAAGACATAAAAAAGCCGTAAGCACAATTCACTGCCTCTCCCTTGCTTGCGGAAGAAGCCGCTGCACTCTACAGCAATTCACATCTCTTAAATTCTCTTTCATATTTATAACAGTTCCAGAAATTCCTGGCTTAACGTATGCAGTTTGTGATAAAATACTATAGGGAAGTGAGCAGCCTTTCGCGTTTTGCATTTCAAAACACAGCTGGAGTGCAGATCCTGACTCTGCACATCAAATGCCAGCTCTCCGCTCCAGGAATGACCTCCAGGAATGACCCTGAGTGATGACACTGGGACCACATGCCCGCTTTTACACAATCAGGAACATTTTGAGGATGTGAGAAATAAAGAAAGGGAAAGTCAGGGAGAGAGAAAAAGCACTTGGAGCCCTTCAGAGAGGAAAAAGACAAAACACCGTAACTGTAAAGTATAAACCCTCCGGCTTGCCCAACCCCCACCCCCGAGCACCAGGCCGCGGGGGTGAAGCGGGGGTGAAGCGGGGCTCCCACACAAGGATGCGGGCGCGGCTCTGCTTCTGAACTCAAAATACACTTTACACAAGTAATCGGAAGGCTAGAGGGAGAAGGCGAAGCGGCCGCCTTCACATTTACAGAGCCCACGCGTTTTCTCCCCCCAAAATCTATGATGACTGCACTCTGATTCAGAGTGCTGCACTTCAGGAAAAGTGTTTATGAATATGGGCTATTGGATGTGAAAAATTTTAAAGAAGAGAATTAATGAGTTGGAAAATACATAAACGTTAGGTAAAACCTTTCCCGACGCCCAGCGTGAAGAGATGAGGCCTTGGTGAACACGCTGAGCTTAAATGTGGGGCTAGGGTGGGAGGGGTTGGGGGTTCACTGTAATACTGATACAGGACACCACTTGTAAGATTCTTAATCTTTTAGCAGGAAATGAAATGGAACATCTCTTGCAGAGTTATTAATCTTTTTAGTAAACCTAGTTAAGTTTTCATCCTTTCTTTGGGAAAAAGACTAGCTCTCACAGGGGCTGAAGCTCACCTTCGAATCATCCCAATAAACATATGCCAATCTGAAACAGAAGTTTCCAGAAGCCACGGTAAATCCTCTCTAAAGAAAGATCACAGCATCCAGATCTCAGTAATCCCTACAATGTTTCACATAATTCCTGGTACTCGATCAGAAATCACCAGGCACATGAGAAAACCAGACGTGACTGAAAACCAAGAACAACAACAGACAACAGAAGCAGACCACGGGGTAGCCGGATATTAGAGTTATCGGATGCCGATTTTAAAGTACGATGACTAAAAACCACAACGTCGACCGGAACAGCTTCAATTAAAAATACCGACAGTACCAAGTGTGGAACAGGAGAACAGTTTTGTCCTTTTTCTTTGGTTAAAAGAAATAAAGTAAATACCATAAACTTAAGATATGTTAAGTCTAAATGGTAGGTACATAGGTACGTTATATTATTCTCTGTATATTTCTTAATTTCTTTAAGATTTCACAATTAGATGCTCAAAAAAGAATAAAAAGATATGGCTAAAGAGAGCTCCAAGAGGGCTAAATTATTTGAGGCTTCACGAGTCATGCTCTGAGAGTCTGGACTTGATTCTTCAGACAGGAAGCCACTGGAGCATTCTAAACAGGAGTGACAGCGTTAGGCCTGCTCTCTGTGAAGACGGTTCTAGCTACAACAGGGCACCGAGAGGGAGGGAGTGACCCGGATGACATGGCCGCGGCTCATCTGCTGGCTACGGTACTGAACACGGAGGAGAGCTGTAAAGATCTGAATGATGGGGAGTGAGTTTTCTAGGGAGCTGGGGTTTGGTTCTCAAAACTATCGAATTTTATCACAGTCGAATCGGGAAGCAAACGAGGCCACTGCGACAAAGAGAAACTTTACGTGAGAATAATTTACAGAGCAAGGACAACCTCTAAGATAAAGCCTGGAACGGGTAAACTTGATGTGGATTTTTCTGTAAACTCAAAGAAAAACAAGCGGTTATAAAACTGGGAGCTAGCGAGCACTCAGCTTGACAACAGATGGGCAGATAGACAGATTTGCAACTCACCAGAACCCCGACGCCTGGAGCGGCCCCTCCCAAGCTGGCAGATGCTTTTCTCTGAGAGGGACAAATTCTATTTCTGATTCTGACAGCAAAGGCTAGTCAGGAATGGCATCTCCCGACCACAAACCCACCGAGATGTTCAAACCTCATCATTTTGGAGAGACGGGCCGTCTCTGACCGCCACTTCCACTGGCCCTGCCAGAAAATGAGGGAGAAGTGACAGTTTCTGAAGAACTTGGCTTTTTCCTCTGCACCCAAGAAAGCAGATCTGTGTCCCTAGATTATTCATGAGCAGCCCACATGTTATGCTGTGAAGAGAAACTCAAACGAATTTATCCCCACTTTCCGAAAAACGGCCTGCGGCACAGAGTCTGACAAATTCTTCAATCACTCTGAGCTGTCTAACCCTCCTCTGAAAAGAGAAAGAAGGATGTTATCTTTATCCTTTGTGCCTTTTCGAAAGGTTATGGTTTAAAATTAAGCAAATCAAGTTCCCAGGGAGCTGATTTCGGTATAAATATACATTCTTCAATCTAATTTATGAATATCTAGTTTGCTAGAGATAGGATTTTTACATGCTGTTTTTGCCCCAACCTGTTCACACGACAAAAACTTTATTCAGAGATGTTCTTTTTAAAGGAAGTACTTTCTGTACACACATCCATGTAGTGTGTCCACTTTTGTCTACCCTGAGCGCAGAGTGTGGTGCAGGAAGCATAGTATGCTAGCTGATCCTGTTCCCACACTGGATCAGGTAAAACTCAGACGCCCGTGGCCATCTTAGATTCCCCAGGTATGTGAGGCACTGAACTGACATACTGTGAATTTGGGAAATAATCACGGAATGACTCGACTTCCTGACTCAGCGTCCACCCAGGAAGTACCCTTTCTCATTCTCGCCAAAGAATGCGCCTTGATCCAAATTTCGATGAATCAAAAATCGGGCAACTTGCTACCTGATAAATACCATCTAGCAAATCTCACCAGTTATTAATAAAACATTAATGAAGTTTGCATATTTCTATCTCTCACCCTGATCAAATTGGTGAGACTGAACAGAATTTCTAAAGTGATAGGCAGATTCCCTCGAATGACTATTGCCATCATAACCCAGCAGCATGTGAAATGCTCGCAGACACTTGTACATGATGCTTTCAGGTTGAAGTAATAGACATGTGCTTCATGTCCCCCTGGGGACACGCCAAGGTTAATTCCAAGGGCACATAGGTACCCCCAGAAACGCAGGAAGTTCCCGCCAGGGTGCCTGGGAGAGGGGCGCCTGGGTACTCTGGGGAGGGGGCTCACCGGGTTGAACGTCTCTTCAACAGTGTGGTGAACGGTCCACCAGTCCGAGGTCCACTCCCACACGTTGCCCACTACATTGTACAAGCCGTAAGCATTGGGGGGGAAGGCGTCGACCTACGGACACAAAGAGGAAAGTTGCTGTCACACTACTCACCTCGCTTAGCAAATCTCTCTGGGACAGAAATGCACTAAGACCTGTCACTTCCAAGTCTGAATACTAATTTTCATCCCAACAGTTAAGATACAATTTGGCCAATGTAAAAGTTAAAATGAGAATGAAAGAAAGAGACATTGTCAGCTCTGAGCTCTCGAGAGGAGTTGAGAAACTTGAGGGAAGTTTATACATGTCACATGGTAGAGAAGCTGTAAAATTGTTCCTAATGGATGAGTCTTGGCCATAAATCAAATCTGTATCTGATTGGGGTGAGGGGCAGGGGTAGATGGTATTGAGACCTTCGAAAGCATGACATTAGACCAGCGTAAGGCCCCAGCGGAGCTGAGCTACGTGCGCCACACAGTGTCCCTTAGTGCTGAGAGCCCGTTGTGTCCTCTCCACCAGGCCCTCCAACTCACCATTCTATCCTTAAGCTCAGCCATTGTCATCAGAGCTCTCAAGGGACTTCTTTTTATAAAGAAAACGTCAATTCACTACCAAGCATGTTTGTAATAAAAGGGTTTGCGGTCTCTGGAATTGTAAGGCAAAAACTGTACAGGTTCTTCAGCCAGCAAGTAAATGGCACGTCAAAGGCAGGTCAGACAGTCTGCCACGCAACGCTGTCACAGACACGCAGCTGGAGTGTAAAGCCTTGATGAGGAGGAGGGACAACAGGAAAAACGAACTGAACGATAGTAAACGCAGAACAGTTTTTCTATTTTAGTGACTTAAATTTTTTTTCCAACACTTTTATGGAAATCCTCAAACATAAAAGAAAAATCTCATTTTTCAAACGAAAAAAAATCAAGTTATCCTTGGGGTTTAAAAAAAACTTTTCGTAAATTTATGTTTTTTCGCATACTAATGAAGCGGAACTAAAGGAATGAATAGACTAAAGTTCGGTTCTCTTTGGCTTCGGGCTTCGGGTCTCGGCACGACTGTAGAGCACCCAAAACCTGGGCCGGCCGAGGCGATGAAGCCACTGAGCAAGGAACGAAATCGGATGGGCGGAGCGCCCTGGGCTCACCACGCGGCCCCCTGCTCAGCATCCGTGAGGGACATGGCAGCACCTGCTCGGAGCCCCTCCTGCGATTCCACACCTATGGCCTAAAGGCAGGAAGCAGTTAAATGGCAGAAGATGTCAAATGGCTTAATGAGGAAGAAAAGAATACACCAAAAATAAAATATCCAAGTCTACACGTGGGGCGGGATGAGTGGGGAATGACGAGGGGAGGGGCATGGGAGCGAACGCCACAGAGATCCCCAAGAGGGCGCCATCTGGGAATTGGGGTCAGAGTTCAAAGGTCGAAGGGGCAGTAAAGGAGGAGAAGCCATAGGCACAAACTGTCCTTTCAAGAATTTGGAGATGGGACGTGGTTCCATAGTGTAGCAGTGAGCAAGTCTGCTTTACACGTAGAAGGTCCTGGGTTCGTGCCCCAGTGGAGCCATGGTCCACGGTCTACGGCCATGCCACCCTGAACAAGGCCGATGTCTGATCTCGGAAGCTAAGCAGGGTTGGGCCTGGTTAATACTTGGATGGGAGACCACCTAGGAAGACCAGGTGCTGTAGGCATAAATAACAATAAATAATAAAAATAAAAAATAATAAAAGAATTTGGAGACGATCAGAGGGCAGGTGAAATCACAGCTGGACGGCGTCAGGAGGAAAGGAACAAAAGAATCTGAGCGGGAAGAAGCCGG